ATGAAAGGCCAAAGTGAAAGGATAAAGGCCTCTCGCTAATGATCTACACTTTAACACAAAGATTTATCGATTCGAAATAACTTGATTTGATCATATACAATCTACTTAAGTTATCAATGACGTTATAACGTCACATAAAAGTTACCATCCCTTCACGCATAAACTAATGGTTATCACTTAACAATTTTACCCGATATAAGCTCAAATTAATCTTATTTACCGTTATTATTTATTTATTCTATAATTAACGGCATAATTTTCACGAATAACGACAAGATAATGTTCTATTTAAGAGCAAAATTCGCATTTTTAGAGCCAATTAAATGGCGATTACTATAGAAAATCTTACTCTTCATCGCATAAAAAAATGTTAAGAAACGTTAAAAAATTCGATTTTCTAAATCAAAATAAGTCGATTTTCTACTCGTTAATAGAATTTTACGACCTAAAAAGAGTACAAAGTGGTCAAAAGATACACTTCAATTATGAGAAATCCCTTTTACTTCTCAAATCTTTACAGAGGAAGAAAGGAGAGAACGAGAGGAAGAAAATAAAATAAAATATAGAAAAAAAAGGCTCGACAACGTCTCTTCCATCCCTTAAAATGGGAAGTGAATATAAAGATAAAGGAATAATAGAGAAAAAAGAAGAAGAAGAAGAAGAAGAAGACAGAATTTGAAATTTGTTGTGTTTTGTGAGAAATTTAAAGCAAGATCCTCATCGATTTGTTTGGGTATGCCACCATAGATATGTGAAGAAAAAGCCAAGATTGCTGAATGGTAAGTTTTATTTCTTGGTTTCCTTTTTATGTATTGCTTTTATCTGAGAAACTTTAACAATTGGAGAAAAATAAATGGAAAGTAGAAATATTGTAATTTTGTGAATATTCGATTAGTGTAACTTTATAGTGAATTGAATTCCTGTTTTAGAATAACCTTCGGCGGGGTTGCAATTCATTATATCAAGCGTGCAGCCAATTACATACGAGTTTCTTGTTCTGAATACCTGAAGCAACAAGCTCTCTACACAGCTTAAGAATTAATGAACTTTTTTTTTATATTTTTCCTCTTCAGAGATGAAGAATTTTTATTTTATTGTAATCTTACATATATACATTTTTTTTCTCTTATTTTTTTTCTTCAGTTTTCAAATAACTTCAGAGGATAACCCGAGAATTTTTTCTATCATCTTCTTCTGCTTTAATTAATTAAAAAAATATATATATATATATATGGATGAAGTGTAAAAAACATTTATTAAAATAATACTCGTTTAAAATATTTTAAAGGATAATATCTCAGTTTTTACTTTGATTATGGACTTATTATTTTCTGGTGGTGATTAATTTCGAATGTTTTAGCTTTATATTCTTTATTTTTACCTTCTTTCTCGGTAATCAGCTAGAGGGAGGGATTTTTTTATGACGTCAAAAACTTTATACGTGTATAAGTAAAGGTAATTTTCGTTGTCGTGTGACTTTCTCAACCAATTAGGCCGTGTGGAGTGACCATGCTGTGACTAGACTTTGTTGTCGTCGTGAGTAAGAAACTGTCAATATTTCCTCCAACATCATTAACTATTGAAGTGTTTCTTTTATAAACTTGTGAACTTTAAAATAAATTTTATTCATCTTATTGAATTCTAAAGATTAAAGAGGAGGATGGAGAGAGAGAGAGAGAGAGAGGAAAAAAAGGAGAGAAAACGTTCTTTAACATCTTAGCTATAAAATTACTACAAATTCTAATTAATTTGCTAATTATTTTTATAGGAAATTAAAGAATTTTACCATGTTTTTTGACAAAAAAAAATTCCAAAAATAATGACCTGTTAAATATTATCTCTCGAGCTAAATGGTAAGCATTTATCAAGTAGCTCATAGAAACCCTCTTCTAAACGTGTTTATACCCGTTTTTTTTTTAATTTTATTTTACTCATAATTAACAACATTTGATAATTAAATTCGTGAATTTATATACGTAAAATTCGAAAAGTTTCCTATTGTCCAATTAAAGTTGTGTATTAAAATTCTAACTTGACTCTCCTGTTTAAGGTTGTATCTACCCCCATCCTATCCGGTTAATTAATTTCAATTATCAGAAAGTAATTTATTAAAAGGTTTTACACCTTTATTATAATGAGAATAATCACGAAAGGAAGAATTTATAAAGCTAAATTAATTTGTTAAATCGAAGTTATCTTCTGTAGGGAGGGTGACATATGCTGAATGTATACGTTAAAAATGCCGTTAAATGGGGGGAAACTGGGGAAAATTTTTTATTAATCTCTTCGGAATTGTCGAATATTTGCAATTTAATTCGAGAATAACACGAAAGTAAAGTCGTTTTCTTCGTATTCAACGTTTATGTAAGCATTATTCAGTTTACTATGCCATTTCATATCTGATAGCAAGTGGCCACTAGATAGAATGCATTTTTATGGTTTTCGATGCATTTATTTCTGAAAATACGGATTAAAGAATGCGATACAAATATCCTTAAAGGGTATTTTTAGTCTCCCTCTCCTTAATATTGAATGAAGAGGACGTTGTCGATCCTTTACGGATCTAATATTCCATGTTATTGCTGGCTATAGCTTATGCATGACTATGACTCGAGTTTATGGGAATTATTATGCAGAATTCGATTGGAAATTTTATATTTTTAACTTATAAAACTGTCTTCTATACTAGTTTTTATTATTATGTAAAATATATTCTTATATATATGTGTGTGTGTGTATAATGCAGGAAAATTAATTAATGTATTACTAAGGTAAAATGTTAAAAATTTGATCTTTCTCTAGGGATTTTATACTTCTAAAATCCGATTTTTTTGTTGTTTTTGGTTCGGTATATCTGCGTTTTTTTAACGTATCCTTGGGATATGTGGTAATTTTTGACTATGTAGCCTAGTAATGATGAATTATTAAGAAAAACTGTAGTAACGAATTAGTTTACGTGTTATTATTTTCCAGTAAATTATCTATTTTGTATGAATTCTCCTGCTCAAGGGCCGAATTTGGATGATTTATAAGATATTTTTTGACTAAGGTTACTCGGCTCTTATGAAAATTTAAGAAGAGGTCAAACTTTGAAACTACCATAAGTTTATTATGCGCTTTTATAAGAATTAGCCGTGTAAATATGCATTTTGTACACTATAAAGTGAATAAAATTAAAATATTAGCCGATATCTAGCAGTAATTTCCACTTGTATACTTCTATTAAAGTTAATTAAATAAGAAACCGCATAATTCAGCATTATTTGCAAGAGAACGTTAGTATAAAGCCTACAATCTTCCTACCCAAAGATAAGAATTTATGCAACTTATTTATGGAAAAAAAATTACAAAAACTTCATCATACTTTTTAATTATTTTTCATGCAATTTAGAGTCTTGAACTTCTCCTTATTAAATCAAAACAAAATCTTAATTACTTTATTAATACAGCAACCGAAATATCGAAGAAGAAGAAGGAGGAGGAAAAAAACCGTACAATTTTATTTATAAATAATTTATTTACTCAAGAAATGATGATAGATTTTAGAAGAATTATAACATTAAAACATCGTTATCCAATTATTTTCTATTTACATATTTTTATAAGAAGGAAAAAAGTGGTAGAAAAATATATTTGCAAGCAGAAAAAGAAGAGGAAGAAGAGGAGGCGTAGGAGGAGGAGGCTGAGTGTGGATATGTTTGGTCAACCTTCACAGTACTTAATTTTTCTCATACTTCACTTATTTTATTCTTAAAAGCAAGGAAAGAAAAATAGCAAACATGTCCTTTTGATTAAATAAATTACTGTACAGAGATTTCGACAATTCATCCAATTTGTGTTTTCCTCCCTCACTTCACTAATACAAATTAGTATTTTGGAAGTAATGGGCGAACGGAGAGAGAAAAGGAGGGGGGATATATTTTTCAGTAATGTAGCAATTATGGAATGAAAAATGCTTAGACCGTTAAAAATGAAATATTTTAATTGAAAACTATATCTAGTCTAAATGGAGTCGTATAATTTTCCATGTCACGCTTACTTAAAGAAAGATGCATTTAAAAGAAAAGATTCTGAACATCACTAATGCAAGAAGTCAAATCAATAAAGGAAATTTTAACNTTTTAAATTAATAAATTTCTACCCGCTTCAATGGACACTTTCTATGTAAGATTTTGCTAATTTTATGGCTAAAAAATCAAATTTTTTTTTTATAAAATAATATTTTAAACGATAATTGTTAAAATATTTAATTAATAAATTGTATAAAATAAAGATTAATACTTTAAATTAATGAATTTATAACGGTTCAATGGATAATTTCTATTCTAAAATTTTATCACTTTATACATTAAAAAATTATTAATAAATTGAGCTGCAATTTGAAAATATTGTAGACCTATAAATTCCCACTGTCGTCCATTTGTCTGTTCGCCTGCGCTTCCTTAATCTCTAGAAAGGTGTTAGATAATTGAAGTTCAATATCAGACACGAAAACCTTAGCGGCAGGAGGACCCAATTAAGTATATACGAACTTTCGGTCTGTACCAGAATTCACGTGATATTAATTCAAACCTTTTTACCCAAAATGTAGTTAAGTAAATGACCTGCACGACTCCGTTGTTATGAGAAAAAGTATGATTTACAGGGGCAAGATACTAATTTGAGATGGAGAGCATATATTTGCTTGTATAAGGAGTGAGAGAGAAAGAGAGAGGAAGAGGAAGAAGAAGAAGGAAGAGGTGGATCACACGCGCTTTTCTTTGTTTAACAACAATAAATATACGTGAAAATTCGTAAAAGGCGTGTGGTTATAGCTTTAAACACGAATATTTCCATCAAAATATTCTCTCACTTGTTATAAGGATGTAAGATTTACAGCAGACACCAACTAATAATTCAAAGTTCCATCGTCGTGTTCACCAATTTTCAAGTGGAGACAAATCACAATTGCGTGACAACGTGAAGCATTATTACAAACGCCACTTCCTCGGGAATTTACGTGTTCTCTAGACTTTTAAAGTCACGAATTATCTTTATTTCTCTCTCACACCGATTCAGATGAATGCGCTCCAACGATTTCTAGCAATTTAAAAGAAAGAAAAAAATGTAAGCCAAGTTTGATTTTATGATAAATTATCTTATTTTTATCTAATATAAATTCTAAATTTTAATATTTACAATCTTACGTGGACGTTATTTATATTTTTTAAAGCATTTTTTTTTTTAAAGCAAACAGTAGATTGGATGGGGTGAATAACATAGAAAATATGAACACATTAATAGTTAAAATGTGGCTTTAAATGTAGAAATAGTTTCTTTACGTGAGGATTCTTTATTAATTTAACTTACAGGAAGTCACACAATTTATATATATATATTTTTATAAATTTTCTACCACTTATATGGACAAAATAGCTCAAAATTGTTAGTTTTATTGCGTCATATATTTCGCTGTCATATCGAAAAGTGTGCAGAGTCGAGTCATAAATGGCAAAGTCGTAGCAACAAGACACTTATCCCTCCAATAAGTCTCACTTTATTCTACACATAAACAAACAATTTGTATTTAAGTTATTAAGAAATTAATTATATATATATATATATATAAACAGTTTATATTCAATTCTACACTGTTTATACATAGAAAAGTAGTAGAGACTATACACTTACCCCTTAAACAAATCTCATTTTACCCTGCGCGTAATTAATTATAGACATAAATTAATTAATAAAGAAATTTAACATATGNTTTCTTTCCTTTGAATTCTACTTCTAAGTTGGGTTTTTATTTAAAAATGGAGACGGAATATGACAGAAATTATGATTTTAATTGCTTCTAAAGAGGTTTTACTGTGGTAAGATATATTATTTTTTAAATAATATATATTATTTGATTAAATACTGAAGTAAAAAATGAATTTCTCAAGCAATTTTTTTCTTCTCTCTCTTTTTTTTTGAGTTTTAAAAAACAGATTTAAGATTATAAATCTCAAAAAAGGCAATTCGAAATGCTTTTATATAACTTAAAAAACATTCTTATATATATATACTTAATAGAAAAATATCTCCTTTTTTCTGTCTTTTTTTCCATTGGATCGAAGAAAAACAGTATACATTTTTTATAGACATAAAAAAACATAAGAAAACAAAACAAGCTGCATAAAAGCTTATTGTTTGCACAGATCAGGATCTTCTTCATTAAAAAAAAAACCTCTTTGGTCTTCGCATCCATCGATTTTTTATACATTTTTACTTACTCAACGACATGTTTCGATTGAATAGCCATTTTAATTAAGACATCCCCCCCTTCCGATGTGGATAAACAATATTAAAAATAAACAAAATTGTAAAAAGTATTGCTGTGTAATAAGGAAATATTATAAATATTTAAATGCTTTTTTTAATATTTTAGTAATTTGGATCCGAAATTCGCAAGATTAAGGTTCGTGTAAACATTTTCTTACGCTCGCTCCTTCTAGTTTGTTTGCAAAGTAGACGGAAAAAAAATTCGAATTATTTAGATTTTATAATGGAGAATGTTTATTTTTTTATGTTTTTATACGAAATTAAACTTTATATCGAGTTGTTTTTTTTCTGCCCGGAAAAAAAGGTGAAAAGAAAAGTTTTAGGAGCGTGATGCGAGTCAATTTTGAGAATTTAAGTAAACTACTCGCGAATAAAATCGGTAATAATTTTGGAAAATTTTATAACAGATTTCTAATACGATCAAATGGCAATAAAAGAAAATGTTTAACTTTATACATAGAAAAGTAGTAGAGACTATACACTTACCCCTTAAACAAATCTCATTTTACCCTGCGCGTAATTAATTATAGACATAAATTAATTAATAAAGAAATTTAACATATGTTTTTCTTCTCGTTTATCTTTATTTTGTATATTTTTGTTGTTACAATAGAGCGCAAACTTAGTTTTTTTTCCCCTCCTTCTTTCCTCTCCATCCTCCTTCATTCTCCATCCTCCTCCCTCGTTTAAATGCATTCTATGGGGGATAGGTTATATATAATATTCAAATTTCTCTTTTAATGCCATCAAATTTTCTTCCTTTTTTGATAAATTAGAAACAAAAGAATCGATTGTTAGCGTGTTCAGCTTTTACATACGACTGCGACTAAGTAAAAAAGTTATGTATCGCCATTGTTCTGATTTTTCTTGTTGGTTCTCGGCATATTAAGTCTTCATTACCAAAAAGTCTAAGGATAGAGATTGTGTAACGTTGAAAGAAAGAGAAAAAAAAGGAGTAAAAATAATCGAATAGAAGAAAAAAAAAGTGAAAAATCGATTTTTCTAAACTCAGCACAGCCCATTAAAAGACAGGAAGATAGATAATGGAATATACAAGAGCAGCTGATGAGTATAGCAAAAATATGATCGAATTCATTCGATGCATGCAATTTTCCTTAATTAAACTACTGAGAAGTTTAAAATATACTGAAAATAATTAAGTTATTTATAATTAGATTAATTATAATTTTAATAAATTTTGTTTTCGCATTTAAATTAGTAAATTTCGAACCGATACAACGTACGGTTTCTATATAAAAATTCTGATTATTTCCTACTTAAAAATGTTATTTGGGATGCAATTTGAAAAAAAAATTGTAGACCTATAAACACTCTCTCTCCATTTGTCTGTCTGTCTGTGCTTCTTTAATCTCGAGAATGGTGTTAGACACATAAAAGATGAGATTAGATGTGGAAACCTTAGGGACAGGAGGCCCCGATTAGCTATATACGAACTTACAGTCTGTACCAGAAAACACGTGTTTTCAATTCAAACATTTTTTCAGAATAGAGTCACATAGATGACCTGCATGACATTGCAGTTATCAGGAAAAGTATGATTTACAGGGGCAATACACTTAATTTGAGGTGGAGAGCATATATTTTAAATTTAATAAATTAAAAATATGATTCAAAATTTTTATTCCTTTTATTTTTTCTATAAAATGATGTTTTAAGTAATTATTTTAACGTATTTTATTAGTAAATTGCACAGAGAAAAGATTAATATTTTATTTCTGTCTTAAATTTATAATTTCTAACTGCTTCAAAATGTAGTTTTTATATAAATTTCAGCTTATTTTATGCTTTAAAAAATTAATTATTTTTACGTGAAATTACATTTTCTTTAATTATTTTAAATTATTTTGCCAAAAAACAATTACAAATAAGGATTCATATTTTGTTTTTATTCTTAAATTAGTAAATTTCCGACCTTCTATATAAATATTTCCTTACTTTATGCTTTAAAAAATTAAATATTCTCCATAAATTTACAATTTAACTAAACATTTTAAAGTTTTTTTTATTAGTAAAATACATAAAATAAGGCTAAAATTTTTCGTTTTTCTGTAAAACTAGTAAATTTGCATCCATTTAAATAATCATTATCTAATAATATCGTTAATTTTATGCTTAAAAAATAAATTAAAAAATCAAATTTTTTTGTATAAAATTACATCTTATATAATTATTTTAAAAATATTTCATTAATAAATTCCATAAAATAAAGATTAATAATTTTATTTCTTCATTAAATTAGTAATTTTTAACTACTCAAAAGATTACTTCCATATAAAATTAAGCTTATTTTACACTTAAAATATCAAATTTTTTCCTAAAAAATTACATTTTAAGTAATTATTTTACTAAAAAGAAACGTTATAAAATTAGGATTAGTATTTTTTTTTAAATTAATAAATTTCTACCCGCTTCAATGGACACTTTCTATGTAAGATTTTGCTAATTTTATGGCTAAAAAATCAAATTTTTTTTTTATAAAATAATATTTTAAACGATAATTGTTAAAATATTTAATTAATAAATTGTATAAAATAAAGATTAATACTTTAAATTAATGAATTTATAACGGTTCAATGGATAATTTCTATTCTAAAATTTTATCACTTTATACATTAAAAAATTATTAATAAATTGAGCTGCAATTTGAAAATATTGTAGACCTATAAATTCCCACTGTCGTCCATTTGTCTGTTCGCCTGCGCTTCCTTAATCTCTAGAAAGGTGTTAGATAATTGAAGTTCAATATCAGACACGAAAACCTTAGCGGCAGGAGGACCCAATTAAGTATATACGAACTTTCGGTCTGTACCAGAATTCACGTGATATTAATTCAAACCTTTTTACCCAAAATGTAGTTAAGTAAATGACCTGCACGACTCCGTTGTTATGAGAAAAAGTATGATTTACAGGGGCAAGATACTAATTTGAGATGGAGAGCATATATTTGCTTGTATTTTCGATAAAATTAATTTTAAATAATTATTTTTTTTAGCAT